GAGGGGAGGGAGGAAGGAAGGAAGGAAGGAAGAAAGGAAGGAAGGAAGGGAAGGAGGAAGGAAGGGAGGAAGGAAGGGAGGGGGGAAGGAAGGAAGGATAAAAGAAGGGAATGAAAAAAAATAACTCAGATTAGGATATATGGAAGTTCTTTGTACTAATTTTGTAACTTTCCTTAAATTTAAAATTATTTCATAATAAAGTTAATAAATATACAATACCATGGACCATTTAAATAAATAAAATTATTTATATTTATTACAAGTCTATGTATGGAAGGAACCACAGATAAATAGAGCACCATGTTAAAAGATTCCACAGATTCCTAAAATACTATAACAACCATGAATCATTTGTTCATATGATGGAATGGGTATGCAACTATGACTCATGGGCGTTTGATCAATAAAGTTTTATTGGAACACAGCCATGTCCATTTGTATTGTCTAGGGCTGCTTTCTCCTCCTAACAACAGAGTTCAGTAGTTGCAATAGAGACCTTACAATTTGCAAAGCCTAAAGTATTTATTCTCTGACCCTTTAAAGGAAATGTTGCCATAATGCATAAACATCTAAGGGTACTCAGTAAATTCTGTCTTCTTCCTCAATGTGCCTGTAGCATGTGTTTAGAATAAAACAAAAGACACTAGTTTTTCTCTTGCAACTTGTTAGCAAGCTTATATAAAATAATGACTTTAAATTATTGGGATGCTATTAAAATTAGGAGAATTGCAATGTCACTTGCCATCATCTCATTCTAAATATATATTCTATTATTATAAAATAAAAAACTAAAGAAAATATCATTGCACCAACTGAAAAACATGCTGTATATTAGATCTTGATAAACTGTATGGGTTAAATGCAAGTATCTTATAAATGAAAGTTCAAATCATTGAAAACTAGAAGACTTTTCCAATGATAAAGAATAGAATCAATTATTTCAAAATTTTCCTGCTATGCAATATTATTACAAGTCCATATTTTTATCATTAGCCTCAGCCTCTAAGATAACTTATAAAAACCCTAAGTTCTAAGAGGCAAACAGAGTAATTCCTAGTGAAAAACAATATATTGTAACTGCTGTTTGATTTAAGGTAAATATGTTCCTCAAACCAGAAGTGATATGATGTCCTACTTCCAGCTCAAAGGCATCCACCTATTTTACAAAAGACTCTTATATGCTTCTTTCCCCAGGAAAGATAAATGACTCTATCTCATTTAGAGCAACTTAAAGCACAAAAGATGCTATGTTTTAATTCATTGAAAAGGTTATTAGCAAAATGTGAATCACTGCAGAACTGCAATTAAGCTATTAAGAAAATAACTACCAGAGGAGATAGAATTATACATATTGGCATATATATAATTACACTATACATAAATGCAGTACATAGTTTTATGTAGAGTATAGAATTACAGCTATACATATATAAAGCACTAAGTTTCACAAAGTAGATGGAACCTATAAATTTATATTGATATATACATATATGCATGTGTACATATATACATTTTTGCACTCATTCTACTTTGTGATCATTAGTTCTTTATATGAAATACATAAGAATAAACTACCCCTTGTGTGTCTTTCAGAGTCATCATAAGTAATGGAATTCACCCTGCTGTGGCCTGAATAACTTTGGAAGCCTTATTTGTCTTCATTAGTCTTCACATAAGAGCTTTTCTTTATTCATAACACTAGAGTGTTAAAGGTGTGCTATAATCTCTATGTGCTAAAAAGCTTAGTTAAATTATGGATTCCACTGGACTCCAAATTAAATTGTAACCAATGTATAGTGTGGAAAGATCCATTTTTTATGATTCTGGGCATTAGAATGTAAAAGAACTTCAATTATCCTTTGGCTGGTGGCATATTTTATAGGACAATGTTCAGAGAACTATGAAATGTGTGGTATTTTAGCCACAGGAGGGGAAAACTTACTTTTCATTACAAATAGAAGATTCTGTGAAAGAGAGTCTTTATTTTTTTCAATTGCTCCAACAATTTCATACGTTACCTAGGGTAAAAGAAAATAGCATAATTATTAATGATAAAACATGATCATAGAATAATTTCCTTTAAAGAATAACTGGACTCAGGGGAGGTTTTTAATACTTCATAAAAGAAGCGTCTTCAGGTCTTGGAGTTCACGTTACGGGTAGGTTCAAAGTGCTCGCCTGTGTGCTGTCATTCTACACATTGAACAAGGGACACCTCTCCTAATTTGCAAAGCCCTCCTCTGATCACTAGTTTAAGTGAAAAGGGTGGTGACTCACATTCATGTAGTCCCTTTATTCTTGAGAACTCTAACCTGCACAGAAAACTCACTAAACCAAGTAGAGAGACTTCATGACACTTTGAATAAGAAGTGTGATTTCAGTTTGATACATTCAACAGTCTCTCTATTAAAAGGGTCCTTTTGGATCATTTACACCATGAACCTGAAGTCTTTAAAGTGAAGAAAACATGTGAAACAATAAATTCTGGATTATTCAAGGACAGTTTACTTATGAATACACTTACATGACTTCACTGTCTGCTTTTACTGGTGTTCCAGTCTGGCCTGGGAGACCTGGTCTCTGAAGAGAGACGGTTTCACTGCCTCTCTCAATCCCAACTAAGCGTAACTCCAATCTGGTCTTGAGAAGTCAGATCAGCAATAAGTTTCAACAGCTGCTTCTGCCTCTTGTGAAAACATGTTGAGTCACAGCACCACGCTCAGGTGTCACAGGCTGTCCTGGGCCCTGGTGGCTCAGTACTGAACCGAGGGAGGCAGCTGCCCAATGAACGGCACCTCTTTGCGCTGCATCACCCAGGAGGCAGTATCGGGGCTTAGATCAATAAAGGCAATAATCACCCCACTCTTGGAATTTCAGCTAGACGGTCCTCAGAGGACTGTCTCATTGGCAGCAAAAGGGGACTAAACAGAAAAAGAATCCACGAGACAGAGGCTATGTGCCTACTGAGAGGAACGTAGGAAAAAAGGCCAAATAACCCCTAACGAATCTTGCTTCCTAAATGACTTTCAAACTCCAGTGCCTGGCCATGCCACCCTTACAATAAAGCCTTACTGAGTTGTTATTCTTTGTTGTCAGAAGAACCTCAATGGCAGAGAAATCCCAAGATGTCTTGAAGTTTCTCAGATCTTTCCAATATGAATTTGGATCAGAAGACTGGCTGAGCTGAGGCAATGCCAAAAAAACTAAACAACTTTCAGATACTCTTAAATCATGATCCTGTGTGCCCTTGTGCCAGAACATGGTTTACCAATATTAAAATGTGAACTATGTATTCTGTTACATATCACACAGGGTGGAACATGAACAATGTTTATATAATCTAGAGTAGTGATTATCAACCAGGGGTGAAGGTGGCTCCAGAGGACACCTGCCACAACTGAGGGAGTTTGTGGGTGGACAGGAATGCTACTAAACATCCTACAGTGCACTGCACAGCTCCCCAGTGAAGAATTACCTGCCCCAAATGTCCATAGAGTTGGGGTTGAGCAACCTTAATCTAGAGATTTGCCTTATCTCTATGCCTTTCTCCAGCAGGGACAGCAGTGCTCAGGAAAACCGTGGAAGAGAAGCCAGAACATCCTTCACAGCCATGTTGAACCCACGTGGACTGGGCAAGTCATTTAATGTCCCAGAGCTGACCCCATAGTGAAGAGCTCTCCTCCACATGGCTCTAATCTATTCTAACCTATTTTTCCATGGGAATCTGATGATTCTGAATTAAACACACATACACACACACACACACGCACGCAACACACGCACGCAACACACACACACACACGCAATTGTGTGATTTTTCTCNACACACACACACACACACACACACACACGCAATACACACACACACGCAATTGTGTGATTTTTCTCTAAATAACAGTCCTTGTTTGCCTTTGTTCCTGCTACGGCCCTGCTTTGTGATGACCATTCCTAATTCCTGCAGTAAAATCCCGACTGTACCTTGAGGGCAGTGAGGATGTGATGGTGTGTTCAGCTCTGTCTCCCTGGAGTACCAAGCTAAATGACTTGTCCACTGGACACATTCAATGAATATTTGGTGAAATTAACAAAAAAAGGTTTTGTTATCTTGTGACCAAATATAACATAACATTGTGTTGGTCTTTTAAATTTAAGATTATGATAATAAGTCTTTCATTATCACAAGATCATGTGCTTTGGAAAGCTCTCATTAATGGCACCCTGGTTGTATTTGGATATATATTTTTAAAGCTGAAGGTCTACATTAAAACTAAAGTTCAGAACTTCTTATTTGGAGATTCCAACTGGCCAGGTTCCACAGAAAAAGAAATTTAACACATACATACAGTAAAGCATTCCATGAGGGCATAGAGTTTAGTAAATATTTTATTTTGCACAAAATTAATAAATCATGAAGCAAATGAACCTAATTATTTTTGTGGTAACAGACAAACTACTTTGGCCCTGAGTCTATCTTCATGTGCTAAATAATATTCTGCAAGGACCCTCCAAATTTAAGAGCTTCTGACCCTATTTTAAGTTATGGATGATATCAGTATTGACAGGATTTGATTGAAAGCTCAACACAGCCCAGCCGGGCATGGCTCTGCGGTTGAGTGTCAACCTAGGATCCAGGAGATCGGGGTTCGATTCCTGGTCAGGGCACATGCCCTGGTTGCGGGTTGCAGCCAATCAATGATTCTCTCATCATTGATATTTTCTCTCTCTCCCTCTCCCTTCTGCTCTCTGAAATCAATAAAGATATTTTTTTTTTAAAAAAAAGAAAGCTCAACACAATTATTAGATACTACCCCAAATAGCTTAGTTATTTTATCATAATTAATATAATAATGCAAATGACTGAAAATGTTACATAAAATTGGCATTAGTGGAATGTCAACACATGGTCCCAAATAATGTTTTTTTCCTCCCCTCATACCAAATCTTGAATCAAGTATTTCCTCAAGGAGCCCTCCCATATTTTAGTGAGAATTGAAATCAGAGACTACCATCTGGACCCTAAAGGTGCAAAATAGCACATTATTATCGGGTTAGTCAATGTTTCTAGTAGTTTTTAGTGGATGGATCTGAGAAATAGATGCACACGACACCCACATATGTGAGGATTTTGTTTTCATTTTAAAGATAAAATACAATCTGATTTCAAATTTGGTCTTTTAACCATGATAATTTCTTCTATCCAAGTTTTCATATTGGCCTTGTTAAAGGCAATTTGAAAATCTAAATAAGTAATTTCCAGTCATGCCCATTTGTTATGTTACATATATAACTTGCTCTCATCAACTTTAAATATTTATTTATTTTTTTTAAATATATCCTTATTGATTTCAGAGAGAAGAAAGAGAGAGAGAGAGAGAGAGAGAGAGAGAGAGAAACATCAATGATGAGAGAGTCATTGATCGGCTGCCTAGCCTGCAACCCGGGCATGTGCCCTGACCGGGAATCGAACCCCGATCTCCTGGATCCTAGGTCGACGCTCAACCGCTGAGCCACGTCTGGCCGGGCAACTTTAAATATTTTTAATTAAAGTTTTAAATTTGAGATAATTGTATATGAACATTCAGTTGTAAGAAATAATACAGAAAGATCCTATTGACCCTCTACCTAATTCCCTCCAATGGCAACATCCTACAAAACCATCACAACCAGAATATTGACATTAATGGGGTGAACACTCAGGACATTCACATCACTGCATGGATCACCCATGTTGCCAGTTTGAGGGCACACTCACCTCCCTAAAATCAGTTGAACACATCTGTATCAGTCTACTTCTCCATTCTTTAATCTCTTCCATTGATCTATGTGCCTATCCCTTCACCTCTGTCTTGATTGGTGAAGCTTTAAAGAGCGACTGTAAATTAAGTAGACTAATTCCTCCCACATCATTCCCCGTTTTAAAAGTTGTTTTAACTATTCATTCTTCACCTTTCCATATAGATTTTAGAATAATATTCACTATATCTTTTTATCTAAACAAAATTTCACATGATTTTGATAGGAATTACATTAAACCCCTGTAGCAATTTGGGGACAACTATTACTATATCATTAGTAAATTGACTATTTAATGTGTTGTCTTCCAATCCATAAACATGACACGTCTCTTATTTGGATCTTTGATTTTTTTCATCAGCATTTTGTGGTTTTTAGCATACAGATCTTCCACACGTTTTGTTAGATTTACATCCATTTGCATTTTTATGAGCAATTATCAATGTTATATTTTTAATTTACTGTCAGTAGTATATAGAAATAAAATTGATTACTTTATGTTTATATTGTATCTTGTGACCTTGATGAGCTCATTTATCAGTTCCAGGAGTTTTTTCTTTTTTTTTTTTTCCTTTGGTAGATTTCTTGGGATGTTTCACATGGACAATCATGTCATCTACAAATACAGATTTCTTTCTTCCTTTCCAATATGCCTTTTATTTCATTTCTTGTCTTATAGCACTATGCCTTTCAGCACTATGTTTAATAAAATACTGAGAGCAGCCATTCTTGCCTTGTTTTGATCTTATGAGTAAAACGTTCTTTCACTATTGAATATAATGTTAACTGTAGAATTTTATCAAATTGAGGATACTCCCTCTATTTCTATTATTTTCTGAGTGTTTTTTAAATCATGAATGGATGTTAAATTTTATCAATGGCTTTTTCTACATCAATTGATGTGATTATGTGATTTTTTCTTCTTTAGCCTGTTAATATGGTAGATTACTTTGATTGATTTTCAAATATTTAACCAGCTTTGCATCCCCAGGAAAAAAATGAATGATTCATGGTGAATAATTCTTTTTACATATTGTTGAATTATATTTGATAATATTTAAAAGTATTTCGCTGCACAGCCAGTGTGGCTCTGTGGTTGAGGGTCAACCCATGAACCGGGAGGTCATGCTTGGATTCCCAGTCAGGGAACATGCCAGGGCTGTGGCACAATCCTGGTGGGGGACCTGCAGGAGGCAACCGATCGATGATTCTCTCTAGTCATTAA